GCCTCAGCTGGGCATCCCCTTCCTCCCCCGGGAGGGGCCCCGGGACCGGGGGGTTCTCCGGCAGCAGGTTCTCCAGGAGTGCTTCCAATGCACTCCCCTATTGTAGGGGAGATGGGCGGGAGAGAAATTCAATAAATAAATAAATAAAATAAATAAATGCGAGCTGTGGAGCATGCACTGCACCTTCAGGAAGCCCTTGTCCCCCTGCTTCCTGCAGTCCTGCCACCACTCCGAACAGCGCCTCCTGCACAGCCGCCACCTTCACCTGGGGAGCCACCGCTGCTGTCTCTCCTGCCTTGCCTGGCAATGGAGTATGCCTTGCCTCGCCATCCCATCCTGCTGTACTGTTCAGTCTGTGGGCTATTGCTCCTTGAGCTGGTGGCAGAATATGGAGCTCCTCCACCCACACCGCTGCCCTGCTTCCTCCACCAGCTCTGTCCTGCTGCCTCCTCCCCAGCTGGGCCCAGTGACTACCCTTCGGCAGGCAAAGCTCTGCCACCCCACCTCATTCACTGCATGCATCCCAGGGCGTGTCCTCGCCCAGTGCCTGGATCCTGGACCAGCAGTGGGAGGAAAAAGATGGCGAAGGCCAGTTGGGGGCAGCGGCAGTAGGGATAGGCAGCAAAGTACAGGGCAGGGTGGAGATGGGGAGGGAGATAGGCAGGTGGAGAGAGTTGAAGCAGAGGCAGTTCATGCAGGGCAGGAGAACATGTCCATGGGATGTTGCAACTATCGTAAATGCAGGCCAGTTGCCAAGTGCCCAAATTCTGATCACGTGCCCACAGGGGCACTGTAACAGCTGGAACTTCAAGGACTATCTGTAATTAACTCACATACTTGAAGGGGCTATTCCAGTCCTTCAAACTACATATTAAACTACTTTTGAAACTGGAGAAGCTTTAAAAATATGACACGAGAAATGGGTGATGGTATGACATTTGTTTTAAAGAAGAAAATTAGTCATCTATATCCAAGCCTTTTTGGGGGGGTTGGGCTGGTTGGTTGCCTAATTTAGTTTGTTAGAACCTAGCAGTGTGAATAAATGATAGATTTATTTTTATTAACTTTTTATGGATCCATTCTTTATTTTGTTTTCAGCCATATTCTGCTTCCATTGCTTAACTGAAAGAAAGATTATGTTGAAAGACAACTGACTTAAACATAAGTACTATTGCCAGAGCTAGACCAAAAACTGAAACCTGCCTGACATTGTACTTGCATACTTTTAATTTGATGAGTAATAACATGAACAAGTCTCCTGAATTCTTGTTAAAGATACTTATTTCTGGGTACTAATGTTAAATTAAAGAAGTTATTTAGAATATCACTATGTACTTTCACAGTATATCCCCATGTGGTAAAGTATTACTTACCCCAATCCACATTAACATTATTCATCTTACAAAGCAAGAACACCTGACGCCTCACTAGCTATATATTTGAATCTTTTGTGATGTAGGAGTGTAAGTTATTATGTTGAAAAAAAATTTCTAAAGCTCTTCACAATGAGCAGACATACAAAAGATAATAAAATCAAATGCAGCACAACAGCATAATAGTAGCAGAACATACTTCTTTTGTTATTCCTAATGTTTATGATTCATGTTTGCTGTCTATTTGAGTATGACTCATTTAACATAGTCTATTTGCTAGCAATGGAAATGAATATGCTCTGTTCTGAAAATTCACTGATGCAGGGTCTCCTGTGGGTAAAAAAACCACTTCCTGGATGAAATCCTTCTATGTTCAGCAATGCGCTACAAATGAAATTCATGGGCCTACTATAAACTGAAAATTGATTCAGGTATCCTGGAATTCTCACAGCTTCTAGCTGAGCAGTACTGAAACTCACACTGGGGTGCAATCATACATAACAATGCTCAGTTTTTCAAGTAGAAGTGGCACATAATCAGTAACATCAAATTAAAAAATACAGGGTGGTGATGAATCAAATTGTGAAATAACAATGCTTACAGTAAACAATGCTTTTTTAGTTATCAGTACATTCATACATATGAGTTTGCACCTATGCAGATCATCATTTGAATCTGAAGCTCAGTTTTAGAGTATTTCAGAATGATGGTCAGTACAAGTGCAAAGTTGTATGTGTGATTCACAGAGATAATGAATAATAATTCCACACTTCTCTTATCCACAGTCTAACAGTATTAACATACAGTGATCATTCGACTGCAGCTACTAGATACTACAAACATACATAGGGATTCCTGAAAACCAGTGTAGTGATTATTCTAGTCATCATATTGACCAGACCTACTGTAAGAATTCTAGGAATTCTAGGAATTTGGGCCTGGAACATTTTTTTGAGATGTAACAGCTTACCAGAACAGGCATAACCTCCCAAATACTAGATTAGAAGAATTCATTCTAATTTAACTCATGGGTTGTCCAATCCTATTAATAAATAAGAATGAATCTGTAACCACTACTTCTGTGTTCTTGCTAAAACTGTGGTTAAAACAATAGTAAATAATAATCATCTTGACATAGTTGTGGAAATGTCAACATAGACAGTATTTGTTTTCATCCTGAATATGAGAAATAACTTAGAAATATGAATATGAAGTCAGTTTTTCACTGTAGCCTTTAATTCTGCACTTATTTTAGTTGATCACTTACAAGCTAACCTTCCGTGAATGGCTCTCTTTATTCCCATTGCTTTTTTGATCAACTGTGTTACTTGTGTTACGAGAGGAAGATGGTAAGGTGGAAGTAGAATTAAAAGCAGCAGTGCCACTGACATTAGTGGGACGTGTTCGGAAGGAATCATCTGAAAGAAAATATGTAAAATTTCAGACAGCCAGGTTGCAATAGTTTGATACTGATTTGTTTCAGAGCTACAAATTTTGCATGAACTGACCATCAAGCAGGCATGCTTGCTTATATAACTTATTGCATTTGGGGCAAAACTAAGGACATCAGGCTCTATAAGAACAAAGGAAAGCCCCCCCCCCCCCAAAAAGAATTGCAATAAAATGTAATAAAATATTATTTAAAAGTAATACAGTTTACTTACCAGTAAATGAGAACATAGAATTCTTTGTTACTCCTGACACAGAAGTATATCCTATTGAAGAACTTTTGCTGAAGGGGTACAAAAATATGATGGGAATGTTATAATGTGTACTTACTGTTATTAGTTTTTATAGTTTTTCACCTCAGAGATTTCAAGACAGTTCACAATATAGTATTCATACACACTTGGTAAAATGACAAGGAATAAAGTAAAAGAGAGAACAAAACCCCAAATTCACAATGTAAAACAAAAACATAAAGCAACCAGTGAGAAAGGAAATCTGCAACCCTGGTGCTCCCACAGATAAGACCCTGCCTTGGCTGGGAATTAATCAGGCATTTACTGACAAGGGTGCCTTAAATGATTAACAGTAGGGCCAGTGATCTGTGTGGGAAAAACATGCTTCAAGCATCCTGGTCCCTAACATTTAGAATGTTTTAGATAATAGCCAACATATTAAACTGTGCCTTAACCTAGATACGACTTTGAGGAGAGAGCATAGACGTGTGAACTCCTTCAGCTCAGTCACAACCTGATTATAAAGTAATAAAACAGTTCAACATTATTCCTGGCTGCAAACCTTCTCTTTCAAGAGAAAGGGCAACTCCATACAAAAGAGTTTATATCCCTCATGCCAGATTTGATATTTAATTGAAAGGCAGTGTAAAACATTACAAAATTAATTAAAAGCTGCCTGACAGCTACCCTGTAAATGTAGTAAAACAGAGATATAAATTGCATTCTTTTTCTATTTTTGCCTTTCAAATGAGGTATATTGTATATTTATGTGAAGGTTCAGTCCTGGCTGCAAGGAGAGAGGAGTTGCAGAAAATGTATTATGAAGTAGTCCTGAACTTGGAGGAGTTTCACCTCTATAAAAAATGGACCTGGGAATTCTGACCCGGACGAAGATATTTTCAAACCCCCAGATTGCCACTTTTAATTATCATATGCCTTTAATCTGTGAAATTTTAAATTTTAATATATTTGATTCTTAAGGTAAAAAAAGAGAATATTGTATGTCCTTGAAAAGGAATCATACAATGATCAGAATCATTCACCACAAGATGGTACCCATTTATAACTACCACTGTTAGGTATCTATAGCCTTCTATGATTTCTAGCTGTCTTTGTGTCTCTGTTTTACAATATAGATAGGACTTCCAAGGACATTGGATGTGTATCCTTTTTAATAAAACCTTGTATTTTACTTATCCATATGGCCAACAGAGCAACTTAAGCTATTAGACAGTTTTCTTCTTGGCTTATCAAATAAATGCTGTGCTTTCAATCAATTAAACAGGACTGATTTGTTTTCTGAGTAATTCAAGTTCTCTGCAAGCTCCTTTGATACAAAAAATTGGAATCTGCAGATGACTTCATAGCAACTTGATCTTGGAAGTGCAAAGTGTAATGGAATCACATAAGAAAGGCAAAGAGATAGTAGAGAGCACCCCTTTTCCTATGTGCATGTTTTTCCTCTGTAGGAAAATAAATGATAAGTGCAAATAGGCTATATCTCTCTTTGCCTTTTTGGACATGACAGAAGCTTAGAATGATGTTTAAGTGTTTAGCTGGGATCCTTAATCAATGATATCAGTGTAGCCTGATCATAAGACCATGAACATAAAGTTAGTCATGTGGTGAAGGGGGTTAGACTGGCATGCTCTGGCTTGTTTTCTTTATCTATCCATGCATGATGGAATATCTTCAGCACATAGTCACTTCATTTAAGTAATGCTATTTTAAATTTAAAACCCAATAAATTCAATGAGATATAGGTGCATTTGGCCTCTCATTTTTTTATCCACTTAGTTTTTAAAGTGTGGCACATAACTCAAAGGACAAGTTTAGCTTTCAGCCCCTCCTCCCCCAAAAGAATTGTACTTTTGAACTGGCAAAGCAAATGTTATGTGTCCATAAAGAACAGCTACAGTGTAGGCTGTACACTATAGCCATCTATGTACCTAACATTAAGGAAAACAAAATATTACATACCTGGGGCATTTGTCAATGTTGCCATATTTTGAGTGCAAAGCTTGACTACTGAAAGACTGACTTCGAACCAATTTAGACTTTTTTACTTCTTTGCCTAAAAGCAAAATTATAATTAATAACACATGCATGCGCATGCACACACAGAACTTAAGCTATTAGTTTTCTTCTTGGCTTATCAAATAAATGTGTGTGTACACATCTTTCTTAGCAAATGTATAGCTGCAAATGGAACCTATAATCTGCCAATAAGTAATGTTAATAGGCATGAATAGTTTTGATGTTCTTGGAAAACATGATTATGTTCCAAAAATCATCATCCTCACTGAACATAAATGTCCAGTTATTAATTTTATGGGATTCTGACAAAACGTGTGACCTAATTTCACTGAACACAAGGCAATGATTATCAGAATTTGAAGTCCCATTACTTTTATTATTATACTGGATGAGAGAGTGCTATGTTTATCACCTTAAACTCCTGGAGGAAAGGTGGCAAATATATACATCTTCATCACATAATTCCCTGTCATGGTAAACAAGCTTAAGAAAAGCACATACAAAGAATAAAAAATAAGCAATAGCAGTAGTAAGGAAAAAGAAATTAAAGGTAGGAACAAGAGGGAAAGAAAGGAAAAGTTATCTGCAAAACCTGGAACAAAGATCAGAACTATCTGGGAGACATGAAAAAAGTTAGCTTGAAATCAATAAATTTTTAAACAGTACATTCATCCACATACACACCCCCTCATCATGTTTACTCCTTTTAGAGGTAAGCAGTGTTATACAGAATTCAGAAAAACAGTTCAAATCATAAGGGGAAAAAAAATATGAAAGCACGATACAAGAAAAAGACTGTCTCTAGTTTACACCAATACCTTTCACTATACCTCTCAATACCTTCCTATCTTTGCAAATCATCCTTACTTTCACCAGTTGCTTATGCCACCATTTGTTCTTTAAACTTCTCAGTTCTTCTTTTTGAGGATCTCATCAACTCTAACCAATCAAAACATTCTCAGTCATCTCCTTCCTCTTGATTCATTCATTTTTCCCCCTCACATATTTGTTTTACAATTCATCCCCATTTGTTCTCTCTGTATTACCAAAACACTTCAATGTACATCTTTCATACTGATCACTCACTTTTGTATCAGCCCACATTTGTTCACCACCCAGTCATTCTTGGCCATATCTCTTCTTGTTTTACTAGATATGCTTCTTATGTAATATATTCCCACTGCATTCACCTTATTTTTATATTTCTCCTGCAATATCTCTCACTTCCATATAACAAAGTAGGCAGAAGCACACTCTTATACATAACCATTCTGGGTTTTTAAAACAAACATTCATTCCTAGTAACAAATCATGTACTACTCATTACCCTTCTGCCAGCATTTGCACAACTTCAAATCTCTCCACCCAATTTTAACAAAAAATTAACAAATATTCCAACAAGATACTCACATTCATCTACTTGTTGTAAACGTTCATCATTTGTTCACTCCATTCCCTACCAAAGGGGCTTCCATGGTCTACAATCATTAATTTTTAGATATATGCTTCACATTGTATAATGCAATCTATCATTCGCTGCAAATCACTCAGATTCTTAGCCAACATCACAGAATCACTTATATACAAAAGTGCCCAGAGATTCACATTTCTAACCAATACATCTCTGTCTCCAGAAGTCTTCTGTATATATTCATACATAAATAATTAAACAATTAAAGGGATATTACACATTCTTGTTTGTTGCTTAGATGGAATCATAATAATATATCCGTGTTTCCTCTAAGGAGCTCAAGATCAGTACATGGGAGCCCCCCTCCAATTCCACAATAACAAACCTATAAAGTAGACTCATCTAACAGAATGATTGGCCCAAAGTCACTCAGCAAGTTCCACAATCAAGTAGAATTTAATCCATGTCTCCCCACTCACAGTCCAACATCTTAACCACTACAACACACTGAGTAAAGCAACTTGTTCATAAATCTAGTCACTTCAAATAGAAAGGGGAGAACAAAATCATATTCATAGCTGCCAGAAGCTCAATACCATCTTTATAGCTGGGGACATTAAGGCTCAGAGGGAAAGCCTGCACAATGATGGGGTTACTGGTTTCTACGATCCTCATGGAAGCTGTTGTTGACACGGGTGATCCCAAAACAGTGTGAATTTACCAAGAGCTTATAAGTGCTATAACATGTAAAAGTGTGTGTGTGTAGTATGTATTACCAATGCATTTATGCCTTTTGAATCATCTAACTCTAAGTGTCACAAAAGGTTGTTTACTTATTACAGTAGTTATCTCCTACATCACTGGCACTTGAGAGGGGCAACAAGTCTGGAACCCAGTGATGATACACCTCTAATACCTTCCACAGGTCACCTGAGACAATATATCATGATGCTTTTATACCTGTTCCCTTATGTTCCTTGTAATATGGATTAGATTTTTAAAATTGTGCAGAAGAGATTTGTTTCTTACTTGCTGAAGCACCTGAAGCGTTTCCAGAAACAGACATTGGGATAGTTTTGGCCAAAGTTGATGATGTTTTACTGTCTCTACCTAAAACAAAGGTTATTATATGTACTGAACATAACTGCATGAACAAAATTGTAATATTCCTACTATTTTTAGTTATATACAATACATCAAATATTACAGAAATTACTGGCAATAAAAATTCACACATGTATCATTAATGCCATATTTTGAACCTCACCAAAATGTAACATGCTTTTTACAGAGATTGCAGAAAAATAGGCTACCATCTGTTACAAATATTCTGACTAGGATATTTTGTGCTACGGGGTAGAATTTAGGCTAAGTTCTTTATCAGCAGAATTAGCAATGAAGTCTTTCAACTTGAAGAGTTACTCCATAAAGCTGATGCTTGAAATAAAGTGCATGCTGGTTTGTTTCTACAGTTAGAGTGGCATGGTCAGCTTGCTGGTAAAGCAAAACTAGCCAAGTTCATTTCTAATACTAGCTTCAGGGCAACCATTATGCAAACCAGGAGGAATTAGCCTCATATTTCTCTTTCTTCCACTTCTTGGAGTGATTCTTTCCAACTTTCTCCCATCATTAATTATAGTTTCACACTGCCAGTGCACAAAAGCAAAGCATACTTAATACAAATAAGGCCCTTCCATAATTAGATTTTGCTAACTATGTCAATCCATTTCAAATAGCAACCCTCAAGGGACATGATTTTGGCATCAGATTATTTTATGTTGAGACTTATCCTAGCAAATGAGAACTGGCTCTCTTCCATAATATAAGTTTGCACTTCCTAGTTGAAATATGCCAAGGGTCATCCTATAAAAGTGTACACAGCTATGACATGCTCTCATAATAAGTTAGTAACAACCATCCCCAGTATTTTTTTTTTAATACAATAATGTCCACTACCTCCACCTGACCATTCTTTGTTGCCCATAAAAATAAATTAAGAAGCCTGTGGAGAAAGGAAACAAAACCAAAAAAATCACAACCACTTACGCTTCTTTTCATATATTTTATCATTCATACTTGTAGACCTGCTTTCATTTTGCTGTTTCTCTTTTTCTAATTGTTCCTAATAGGGAAACAGTGTAATAAGAACGTTAACGGAAAAATGAAATGTAGATTTATTGGCTGCAGCTTTTATGTTAGCATGGTTTTATGATCCACCTAGCTTCAAGAAACAGTCTGAAATGCCATCATGTTATCAGTGATAAAAGAGTTGTTTGTTCAAAGTGTATTTTGGTCCAGAAGTTGCCAACCTCCCCTAAAAATACCCCCATAAATACATAAACAAGCTCTCCTCTGATGGTACCACACAGTATAGTTGTTTTCTCTCTGAAAAAAAAAAAGCCTTATAGCTATAAAATTCTGGGAGAGCACATAGATTGGGAAAGCTAATTGTTTCTCTATCTCTATCAGCTACTCTACTTGTGCAGACCAATAATTTCTCCAGAGTAACCTTGACTTGGACCTAAATGTGTGAACTGGATATATGGCACAATGTTTACAGCTGTTATGACAGAATCAGCATAGAATGGAGTGTAAACTTCTGGCCTGGAACTTCCTGATTAAATCATGCTTTTATCATGAAAAAAGCAAGTCCTCCTATGTAGCAGGATAAACTAACTTCACCAAAGGATGAGGTGAAGAAATATATGAAGGCAGAAACTGGCACCTGAATGTTGAAGCAAAATATCCTGGGATGAGATACTTTTTGAGCTCCACACTAGACAGTGAAATGTTCTAGGTCAGAGCTGACCGTGAACTGATGTTGCCTTTAGGGAAGGCACTATGCTTCCATTCATAATATGGGAATAATGTTAACTATATTTTAGGATTACTGAGATGATGTAACATGAAGTGCTATTAACACCTCATACGAGTTATTATTAGTATCAAACATTTGGGTGATGTACTTCCTAATATATTTTCTCCTGACAGCTGCCTGAAATGCTTCTATGCAAGATTAAGTTACATCCAAGAATCAATGTTTTTTTGCACCAGCAACATTTCCCCACATATATATGGACATATTTCCCCTCAAGAATCAGATAAACTTTATGATATACATAAGAATTTTTAGAGTATTTTTAACTTTTTTAAAAAAAATTGTAAACCTTTATTAGAATTCATTGGATAGTTCGTATGATATTCAAGTAGCACCTTATTCATGCAATAAACATACCATTTCCAAAAGAAGATGCTCCTCTCTTTCCTTTTGCTGATCCAATAGATCATTTTCATAAAACCTCTTCTGAAACTGTTCAAATGTGAAACCAGAGAATCAGCAATCACACTAGAGGTTTCAGTATGCTCTTTCCTGCTATCATTTTAGTTTATACTTACGGCATCTAAAGAAGTTTCCATTCTGTCCAGTTCTAGTACCATCTATTAAAAAAAGATTTAAATATTATTATAGGATGGCTTAATTGTTTTAAGAGAATCTCAAGTGGTTTGGATTTCCTACTAGCAATTTTAGAAAGGACGTGGGCTCATTCAGAAGATAAGATGCCAGACTAGCTTGGGAACTGGGATGCCTACCTACAGGAGCGCTATAACATTCTTTAAGCAGAAGCTTACTGATCATAATGTAAGAGACTTCTAATTATATAAGCATAGGTTTGAACTATATACGATCCAAAGGAAACTCCTTTACCACCACATTCAGCTATAGTGCAAGTTCATTGTGCCCATACATTTCTATGGATTTATAATAAATTAAGATCATTACATCTGATTTATTTCAGCATAAACAGAATTCAGGAACTTTGCAATGCATAAGCTAGGTTCACATATCATACTAAACCAAACTGTGGCTTGGGTTTAATTATTGTATTAGTCTAGCCACTGTGGACTACAAACTATGGTTTATAGCTTAGTGAGAAGTGTATACTCAGCTAATCAAAATTTACTGAATCATGGTTAAGCAAACCATGACTTTGTACAATGAACTCTGTCATCTTAAGAATTACGATAAAAATATAAGAAAAATACTGGATGAATAAAAGAACCTCACATACTTTTTTAATAATGTTCAAGACGTCTTTATCTTTCTCCTCACACAGAAGTTTTCTTACACTCAATTCTAGCTGCTGCAGTAAATGTTTGTCTGTGGGAACTTTGAGGGTAGACTTCACTTTTGGTAATAAACAACACAGCTTCATTCTATACAGGGAAATAACGTTCATATTTTTTAAAAATATGAAGATATACACCAGGTTAAAAAAAATCAAACACAGAAACATGCAAACTCTGAAGTGGTAGATAATATTGAAGTAAATAAAGTGTATACTGTAAAGCCATAAAGAAGAGTTAAAGTGCCAGTAAAAAAAATGGTTGCTAAAATAGGCAGGGCAATGTAATAATAGCATGCTAAGTATTTCCAAAGGACTGTATAAATAAGTTTTGAAAAAAGTCCCTATCTTTTCAAACTACAGTCATCTCCAAAAAACTTATTACTTGGAGTGTTTTTTATGAGTATGCGTAAAACTTGACCAAATATGAAAAGTTCTAAGTTAGGAATTCTTTAAGGCCCTCATCTCCATCTGCTTTTTGTTTCTAGAGATGAAATCCCTATCATCCAAAAAAAAGCCATTTGTTCATGTTTGCTTTAATATTATCTGTGGGACTAAAAAGAAAACTGTCTTGATTCTGTTGTATATAGAAATTCTTCATACTGCTGTCTATCTCCTTCATGGACCTTTAGGCAATGTTATGCCAATCAGGTTTTCATTTTTGTGCTATTTACTGTTTAGTATTTATATTTCTAAAGATTTTAGAGATGAACTAGGGATGGACAAATTCCTTTAGGATCAAGTCATTTTTCCTGTTACAGGGGACAAAACTATTGTTATATCAAGTATGATTTTAACAAAATGCCCTTTCACTTTCAGTAAGAAGTTTCATCAGTTACTCAACAAAAGCATTACTGCACTAAAAATTAATTGGTTAGTTAGGTGCCATCAAATTGGCCCCAACTCCTGATGACTGTGTGGACAAATATTTGGTAGGTTAATCTGCATACAGCAATAAGTCATAGCTCTTTCAAGAGCAGTGATCTCCTTGACTTTTTCCCTCCGCCTTATCTGTTGCCTTCCCTTCTTCTCCTTCTCCCAAATTGCCAAACAAGATAATCCTTTTTCCCTAGTTAACAATCAATCATTTGTAACACATGCTCCAAATATTTGATTTTCTGCTTGCAGACCTCTGCCTCAATGAAACAGCCTATTTTTATTTGACTCAGGACTGATTAATTGGTTCTTCTTGTAGCTCATGGTACTCTCCAAATCCATAATTTAATGGTGTTCATATTCTTTATTTTGCTCTTCATCAATGTCCAGCTTTCACAGACAAATGTTTTTATTGGAAAAAAACACTGTTTTAACTATTTTAATCTTTGTTATCATAGAAATATCCTCACCCCGAATTTGTCCCCATCACTGCCCTCCTTCCTAGAAATAATCTTTCCTTTAGTTCTCCAGCACACACTTTTCCTTACCTATTTTTGAGCTCAACAATTCTATCTACCATTTTTGCTTCTTTGCTGCCAATCATGAATTCACTAAGCATGCTATTTAACACTGCCTTTGTCTTCTTAATGTTTAGTACAGATCTTTTGGTTTCCACTTTGACTTTCATAATGAGTTCTTCTAAATCTGTTTTATTTTAGCATAACAAAATGGTATCATCTGTATACTTAGTTCAGCATTCTGTTTCCATAGGGTACCTCCTAGGCTACAAACTATGTATGTCTCCAAATGCAGCATTTTCCTCTTGCACAAAATAAATTACAGCCATTGTTGTCAACTGGAAAAATTTCAGATACTCAGAAACCTAAACCTACTGAGCAGAAACAAGTTTTGCCCCTCTCCCAATACTTTTGTTAATTACAATGTTTTTATTTTATTCCAGAGAATTTCATGGAAACTGTTAAGGAACATTTCCTGTTATGTAATTGCTCTGCCACAAACACAAAATTTTATTGGTCATTTAGATATCACTGTCTTCCTCTTTCAATCTTCATGTGTTTTTTTTACTGCTTCTTCCATCTGCTTTCTTAACAATAAAAAAAAATTAAGAAGGAAAGCCAGAATAGCTGTACAATGCTTTCCAATTAATACTACTAAGAACAAATCCATTCATCTCTCTATACATCTCTTCTTTAGCCCTGGTCCAGCTCAATTTCTTTGTCATGCTGGGTTCTGACAGAGGCACTAAGCTCAGAAATTACATATATAAAAACATTAATATATACTGTATGAGATACAAATCTACAGAGTGTAGTTTAATTGTAAAATACATCAATTTTATTCCAGAAACATGAGCAACCTGCATTAAATGGCAATGCAAAGCAACCTGAATAAATCAGTGTTTTATTTATTTAGCATAACTTGTACAGTACCTCACATTTGCTACTGGATCATGGGTAAGTTCGAGCACAGGAAGAAAGAAGTATTCACAGAAAAATGATTTGGAAAAGAGCTCTATGATGAATTCACAAGTATCTAAAAAACGTAATCTGTTCCAATAGCTTTTTCCCTGGCCCAGTTCTGGAGGAAAAAAAAAATTAATAACTATTGGTAGGTTATTATTTTGATAGAAGAAATTAACAGATATATTAACATTATGTTCTCAAATATAATGTAATGGCGTTCAACTGGCTCATTAGAATAATTATGAAACATGCTTTAGGTCATGGTCATAATGCTCTAACTGTACTGCTAAGAAGCAGAAACATGCACAGGAAGCCAGGTAGGACAGCTCTATCTGGGTGGGGCAATGCTACTGTAGCAGCTCCTACACATCAGCATTCCAGTGCTTTCTGCCATGCTAGGACACCTGTTAAGTACTTGTATAATTATTTAAACTTGATATTCTTATTGGAATACTGGGAAATGGTGCTGTATTATATAAACTTTTTAAAGATAATTGTGAAACACTTTGCATATGAATTGCCATGGTAAACTTGCATACAAATATCTGAAGATAATACAGCTGAAACCTTTAAAGTGAAAAACATTTGCTCTGTGGTAAAAACATGTGCCTTCCCTCTTGTATAGCACTATACACAACTGCCTTGGTTTTCATTAAAATTCCATTAGCTTCCTCATGATAAAGAGGACATCAAGACTTACGTTCAATCAATTTCTGGATGACCTCATATCTCTGTTCTTGCTTACGATTATATCGTAAGTATACACACAGTGTTCGAGCAGCTGCTCTTTGGACAGGTAGGACATTCTTCAAGAGAGAGAAAACATATTTCATGCTACAAGGGACTATATAAGTAATCAAACATACAAGTTGTTAACTGATGAAGAATAATGGCTGAAGATGAAAAAATAGAAAGTAATAAAGCATCAATAAAATGTTTCAGAAATGAGGCTGGAATAAATTCAACTTAAGGTTGGTCTTCTCCAATAAAAAGTCTTATCAAAATCTGAAACTTGAATTTGTATTGTTTTCAAAAGTGGTATGACACCAGACTATTAATTATCAAATCATTCAACAGCTGGTCTAGTTTTTATTGAATATATTGTACTCTGGAGCTTCTTTTATTTCCTTTACCAGGAAACATATTCTAAGATCACTTAAATTTTTTCTACAGGAACACCATCCCAGTAGGGGGAAAAACAAGTTTTTATTCTTTTAATGAACACCTAAATCAGGTTGTGGGGTAGTGGTGGGGAGAACATGTTATACAGATACAAAAGTCAATATATTTTATTTGTTATTGAAATGAATGGAGCAGGATTTGTAGATAAGCAAACTGTATGTGAATGTCTGAATCTGGAATGTGCAGCAAACAGTAAATGGAGATGTATGTATTTTATGCCTTGCTTTCACTTATTTTTAAATTAGCATATTTAGATGCAAATTTGAAAGGGTTTTTTTGGCTTTGTTTTGTGTTACCCTGGGCAATTATTAGAGTTTAGATGGTATTCTATATGCATGGAACATCTGATGTTTTTATGTTTAATTTTGTAAAGTTAATTGGATTATTCAGTAGTTAAACATAAATACATTTAAGCCTAATGAGAAGCATATATTAAGTTTCAGGGCAGAAGTTAGTTTCCTTATTATTTATTTAACTGGGTTTATAGGCCATGCCAAGCAGAACTGACTATGAGTGGCATATTTCCTCTCTGTAAATTGGGATAAAAATGAAACTAAAATACAGATCATACAAAATATAATCAATAAAATTGCATATACAAAATCATGGGAATAAAATGCAATCACCCAGACACAATTAAATTTATTTCCACTGCTAGAGAGACAAACAAATCATTCAGCCTGCAGCCTACTTGAACAGCTGTCTTAATAGACTATCTGAATATCAAAAGGGAAAGGACCATTAGAAAGTTGTGGGAAATGCTATTCCAAATGAGGGGCAGCAATAAAGCAAGCATGCTTCTGCAGAACCTGCAGATGACAGTCCCTGAGATAGGCAACATGGAAAGACCCTATCTTACTTCATCTTATCAGGTGGGCAGATGTTATTGAAGAAGGTGGTCCCACAGATATCCAACCCTGAACTACAAAGGTCTTTAAAGGTGACAACCAGCATCTTGAATTGCATGCAGAAGCCAACTGATAACCAGTGCAGCTTTCAAAGCAACAGTGTTATATGGGTCCATTAGGAGCACCCATGACTAGTTGGGCCACTGCATTCTATACCAGCTCTAGCTTCCAAATGCTGTTCAAGGTTAGCTTGACATAGAACACACTGCAATAGTCCAAGCGAGAGGTGACTAAGGCATGAGTGACTGTGAGTAAAGCCTCCCATCCAGGAGCAGTCATAACTGGCACACAAGGTGGAACTGTGAAAAGGCTCTCCTGGCCACAGCTGCCACCTGCTTCTTAACCAGGAGCTGTGAATCCAGGAGGACTCCCAAGTTATGAGCCAGTTTAGTACAAGGGAATATGACTCCAACCAGAACTAAAGATAGAATCTCTCTGGAGTTGGATGGCTTATGAACACAGAGCCACTCCGTCTTGCTGGGATTAAGCCTCAACCTGTTCCTCCATAACCAGACTTGAACAGCCTGCAGTCATCTGGATAGCACTTCAACAGCATCACCTCTTCAGCACCAAGTTGAGATGTAAAGTTAAGTATCATCAGCATACTAATGATACCTAATCCACATCAGCAGATGTCATTACCCAGTGGCTTCCTGTATGTATTAAACAGGAGTGGGGAGAAATCAAATCTTATAATACCCCAAAACTGAGGAGCCTGGAACTTGATCTCTCCCTCCCCCATCATAGCCAAATGGAACCACTCCTTCAGAAAGGAGAACCACTGCAGGACAACATCAGCCACTCCTAATTACCTAAGCAGGGCTAGAAGGGTAGCATGATCAGTCATATCAAAAGCTGCTGAGAGATCAAGCAACACTAGGAAAATCACATTCCCCCTAACCCAGCCTCACTAGAGGTCATCCACAAGTGCCGTCAATGTCAGCTCCATGTTATGACCAGGTCAGAAATCTGACTTAAACAAATTAAATAATCTGCTTCCTCCAGGACCCTGTGGAGCTGCAGCCCCACCACTTTTTCAACACACTTCCCCTTGAAAGAAAGGTTGGAGATTTGTCCAGAATGTCTGGGTCAAGCAATGGCTTCTTGAGGAGTGGGTACATCACTGTATCTTTCAAGGAGAATGGCAGCATCCCCTCACTCAAGAATGCATTTACCTCAATCCTAACCCAGGTCCTGTCACCTTCCTGGAAGCGTTTGTCAACCAGAAAGAGCAGAGATCTAAACTACACACGGCAGAGCCGATGCTGCAGAGTACCCTGTCCACTTCCTCAGGACTCACAGGATTAAACTCATCCCAAATAACCTGGCAAGACGATGTCTCAGTCACCTCTTCTGGACTTGCCCAGCTAGCATCTAACTCTGAGCGGATCTGAGCAACTTTGTCCTCCAGATGGCTGGCAAACACCTCACAGCGGCCCAATAAATGATCTTCCCGCCCGTCTTTCCCCAATAGGGTCCGGGTCACTCTGAAAAGGGCCGCTGGGCAGCAGTCTGTGAACGCAATAAGAGCAGAGAAATAGTGACGTATTAGCATTCTTCATAGTTAAAAAAAAAAATCTCTGAAAAACTTGGGGGGATTTATGTTCTATATTCTTAAATTTATTTGTTCACAATTATAGTGCATATTTATTTCTACTATGAAGTCCTACACACTTATGTGTAAATAATGATTATTTCCTGTAAATTTATTTTAAAAGGGCCCTAGAAATTCAAATCATAATCTCATATATATACACACTATACATATTAAAAGCTGTGCATGATTCAAAAATGATTCAGAAAAAAATAGTTGGAACTCATATGATGTGGTTGCTTTAATAACAGAGATAATGCATATATAATATACATATATCATATGTATGTGGAGATATATATATATGTATATGTATATACACACACACATGCATACACATACACACGTGTGTAAGGTGTCTTTTTACTTTAAACCATGAAGGAGGACAAACCTTCCTGTGTTTGAGCAATCTCTCTATTATGCTAGCCTGCTTGGTAAAAGGCAAGTGTTTTTATTAGCTTCTTGCAGACTAGCAAAAAAGAATGGAGACTAGTATCTTTTGTAAAAAAGGAAAAAAAGAGCAGTAAATGTAGCAATTTGAATTTCATTATCATGAAAATTAATGTATTTATGTGTGCATTTTTTAAAAGGATTTTTAGTTGCTAACCGCATTATAAAAAGTAGATTTCAGTTCTTAACTGCATTCTGGTTCATTTGAGGTACTGCATTTTGTACACTATACAATTAGCATAATGGTGTATGTGTATGTATACGCATACATATGCATATGTGCATAGATAAAGATACAAATTATATAGTTCCAAACTTTCTGTCTTTCTGCTATTGTACTGGCCTTCCTGCTGTGTAGCAGCTTTCCTGCTTGAGCTGTTTGATGTTGCTGCTGGGTTGGCAGTGGAGTCTCCTAGACTTGAGGCCCTGTCTTTGCTTGGTACAGAATCTAAATCAGTTTGGGAATTGGCCATTGTGGACCTTGATGCAGATCATCAAGCGCCTGATAGACACACACACACACACAGAGCACGCGAGCAAGAGAGAGAATCTGGTCTTTGCCCTGGGGCAATTGTGACATGAACTGAGGATGGAGGACATAAACATCTATCTCTTATCATGGTTAGATCACTCTCTGATTGATTTTTGAGTTCGCTGGTGCTGCTCCTCTTTGTAGGGAGGAGGGACTTATTTGATTGGTCCAGCCTAGCACCTAATAGGCCCAACTGGATTTCAGAGGGTACTTAGGAAGTTTCCTGAGGATCTGATGGGCAGTTCGGCCAAGGCCTTAGTCACTACTTGGAATGAGTGAGCGATGCTGGCCCTGGATCAGATTGCTCCTGAACAGCCTCTCTCTGAACATCAATCCTGAGGGATTTCTTGGTTTATAATAGAGTTGCTGGAGAAAGACAAAAAGCAAGTCTGAACGAACACATGTATGTTCCTACATTAAGGATATTTTGATTATTAGAATGGCAAAATATAACTATTTTTCTGCTCTTATTGCATTGGTGGATTGCTATTTGGTGACCCTGTTTAGAGTGATCCAGTCCCTACAGCAGAGGAAGGGTCTGAAGAACACCTAAAGGGTTGCTGTTAAGATTATTCTAACCATCTGACAGATAAAATCACTGAGATCTGAACTGGACTCTGGCTGGACAATCCATCTGAGTTGCCTGAATCTTGCTCTGTTCTCCTATCTGTTAATGCAACCACTTGTAAGTTAAATCCATGTCCTCCTGATTAGTCAAAGCCATCTGGGTGATGAAGTTCGGTTGGATCCATGCAACAGTGAATTTATCCTTGAGTGACAGAGTAGGCCCATGTGCTTTGAAGGAGATGATAGTGTCCTCCTTTCTCAGGAAACCATTGCTGGACCCAAGATGTTAGATAATTTTTAACTAGTCTTTAACTAGTTCCTTTTTTAGGGAAGGCTGTGGAGAAAGAGGTCAAACTGCAACTTCAGCAATTGCTGGAGGAAATGGACTATCTGGATCTTTGTCAGGATTCAAGCCAGGTTGAAGTACTGATATGGCTAGCTAGCTAGCTAGTTATTTATTTATGCATGCCACAAGATCTTAGATGCTATAACTCTGGGTGGTTCACCCCAACAGCAATAAAAACATAAAAGAAACAATACAAACCAGCATCCAAAAAACAATTTCTGGTGCTT